CTGCACCCCAGCACCCCGAGGGGTTCAGCCTTTTCCCCAAAAGGCTCTGCCCCTCACCCCCAAGAGCTCAGCCCAGCGCCCCAGCTGCTCATCGCCCCCCACGGGCTCATCCCCACACCCCAAAGTACTCAGCCCCGTACCCCAACCCGCTCATCCCCCCCGAGGGCTCATCCCCGCACCCCGACACGTCCATCCCCCGCAAAGCGCTCACCCCACCACGGGCTCAGCCCCGCACCCCAACCCCTCTCACCCCAGCCTCCCAAAAACCCCATATTGTGGATGTTACTCTGACATATTCACAAGACTTCAGCTGGCATTCTGGCCAGAATTTCTTTGCTTACAGAGGCGTACATGGTTATTTGCTTAAAACTTCCATGATGTTGAGTGGTTTTGCTGAAGGTTAATATGATTTTGTACGTATCAAGGATATTTTAAATAAGACACTGATAGACCTACATATAGGAAGCATTTTCCTTTTATTTCAAGACTACTGAAACAATAACCTCAGCGGACAATCAGCAACTACAGCTAGAAAAAAACTGAAGAGAAACTGTGATTACAGAGAGGAAACGAGATAATGTTGACACAGGGCAGAGTAAGAAAGGAAAGACAAGACATTGCTGGACAGAAAAAAATCAGATTAATAAACAGTCATTACATTTAAACTAAAGCAGAGCAGAAAGGAAAGTCTTGCTGCTCATATAAGTCTCATAACCAACACCTAGAAATGTCATGGTTTAGTTACAACATCACAGTAACCTTTGCTCTGTTAGCAGGAAACTGTTTAGGGCAGCTGTAGATTAGAAGCCTTAAATGGGCATTTAATTTGAAATTAATAAAACAGTTACGCAGGGAGGGTTTCCCCCCGGCACCAGGGAGGCCCCGTGGGGGTTGGGGTGCGGGAGGCGGCTGCCGCCCTCCCCGGGGCCTGCGTCACCGCCTGCGCCAGCGCCGCTCACCGCGCAGCACACGCCGAGGCTCCCGGGAAAGGCATCCCTGGATTGGCGAGAGTCAGGGCCCAGGGGAGCCACAGGGCACTGACGTTATTGCAATTCAAGTGGAAATAGGTTTTTTTTTTAATGCCAATAAATCATGAAATAGTACAAACCGTTTCTCTAGGCACGGGGCGGGCACCACAAGCCTGGACCAGCACCGATGCCGGCTATCGCGGTCCCGTGCTGCCACTTTGGCGGGGCTGCGGCGGTTGCTCAGCTTTACAGTGGGGCTGGCGGCACTATTTTTACTCCCAGCAGCGCGTCGCTCCCCGGCTCTGCGCAGAGAGCCGCTGCCAGCGCAGCCCAGGAGCTGCTCGCCGTGATTTGGAGCTTCTCCCTGCTGCGGCTCGCGGGATGAGAAACAGCAACAGGCCGGGGCAGGCTCCAGCGCTCCCTGTCCCGGAAAAGCCTTTGAAGGGAAAAAGGATTTAAAAAAAACCCACCCAAACCAAACAAACACACAAAAAAGGGCAAACCGGTCCCGACGAGCGGATTGCAGCAGCTCAGCGCCCTCACCCCTGCGGCGCCGGGTTGTGGTTTCCCCACGCCGGCGTCACCGCAGGAAGCATTCGTCACTGCTGCTGTGGGCTAGTGGGACACCCGCCCCCAGAAACTCCCTTCTTTTGCCCCAAAAATCAGCGGCTCCTTCCTGCGGTAGGGGGGTTTGGCCCCCACCCCCGGGCAGAGCCTGCTCACCGCCAGGACAGAGGTTGGGGTTTTTTTGTGCAAATATTGCAAAACCGTTTCACGGCATGTTTGCCTGTCCCAGGCTGCAGGCACCAACCCCAGCACGGCCGACGGACACCCGGTCAGCGTCCTGCCCGCAGGTCACACCACCCATGCCATCCCCCAGTCCTGGCACAGCACCACAGCCCAAAGCCCCCCAAGGCAAAACGACACAATGGCAGATAGACATCTGCCACCTGGCTGGGACTGGGCTCTAACATCACCTGCGTGGTACCTCATACCTGCTCCCCGCTTCTGATTTTTTTTTTTTTTTAATTACAGGAGCTACTTAGAGTAATGAAACATTTTGCAGAAACAGCTGATCAGCTTTACCAGCCAGAGGACAACCAGCTGCTGGTGCCCAACCTCCACGCCACCCACCAGGAGAGGAGAACAGCCAACAGCGACACAGAAACGGGGGGGCTTTTTGCCATCCTCTCCCTTTCAACACGGGCAGCAACGCCCGGGTTTACACAGAGCTACAGGAGGGGAAGTTCAGCACTATGAATGCTGGAATCACGTTCAGGCTGGAACGGTTTCACACAGGAAGCAGCTGATGCCGCAACAGTGGAAAAGAAATTAGGGCAAGTTACTGGAAAATAACAGAAATTGAGGGGAAAAAAAGGCCACGTGAGCCTGCAGTAGCTGTGGAGACAAAGACACCACAACCCAGCCCCTCGCAGCACGGCTGCTGGGGAACCACAAAACCTCTTCTCGCTGAAGCCTTCTCGGGATCTGGACAATAACATTGAGAATTCAAATCAGAGTGAAGCACCTCAGATTATCCTGTACCCCATCGCTTGATTGCATCAAAGAGTGAAAAGCAAAACTCAGAGGCTTTTAATGCAGCAGCACCTTCCTCCTGGGTGACAGCACAGGCACAGCCCCGTCCAACCATCCCCACCACGCCAGAGACCATCGGGGCTGCTCATCTGCGCTTGCTGCTATTAAATAATGGTCAACACCCACCACGTGGCTAAAGCGGTTCTGACCAACATCCCTCTATCTCGTTAAGGAAACCCCCCGAGGGAAGTAAACAAAGAGCATTTCAGACAAAGCAAGAGCTCTTCCTGGCTGGGATGTAAAGCACAGGTGAGTTGTCTTCCAGCCCAGCACTGACCCTGCACCACTGGACACGTCTCAAGCATTTCATACAACTTTGCCACATTAAATCCAACTTATTTTGATCTTTCTAGTCTGGCAGGGCAGTTCCCAGCCAAATGTTCATGACTTCAGGCTGCTGTAGGGGAAAACCTTGTTCCAACGCAGCTGTGTGAACAGACCCTACCATTGGTGTATTTTAACACATTAAACTACTTGGTATTTAAACAAAGGATTATATTTAATAAATGACAGTATGAACTACTTATGTGCAGCACACTGCAGCTGTCCAAAGAATCAAATGAAGCGATATAAACCATGGTCATTTGTGCTATAAGAACTAAATCCAGCACTTCTTTGGCTTCTAAAGAACTTAAAACTTTGGCATCTCGGGATTAATTACTACAGTCATCACCAGGAAAACGATTAAAAACCAACCAGGCAATGTAAACATTTAGAATTCTATGATCTAAAAATACAGCAGTAAACAGGACTCCAGATGAGGGAAGGACTGGGTGATGTTCCAGAAATACTTAAAGTGCCTTAGATGCAAGCGGAATTTATAAAAAACAGCCTCAAACCAGTCACTTTGGAAACGCACCGACGGCTGCACACTGGTGAGGGACACGGCCTGAGAACTGCAGCATTGGGACCTCAAGGGGAAGCCCATGGCACAGTCCCAACAGGGAGATGCACGGTCAGCGTCCCCTCCTACAGCCCCATCATGGGCAGTGCTTCTGGAATTCATCCATAGCACACTCCAACAGACAGATTGCTTACCCATCGAACACACCCTGGAATGAAACAAGACGTCATGTATAAAAAAATTTAAGTATTTTATTTTTAAGAACTGTACATTCCTGGCTCCTCTTCACAGCATTCGGACTTCATCTTCTGCAAATGCAAAGCAGGCAGTTAGCAACAACATTACCACCACCAGCAGAAATCACACAGAATGACACGGAGAGGGAACCAGTGCATCCCAACAGGCCACGCACCTGTCCAGTGCTCTCTGTGATCCTAAATTCTCATGTCCCATGAGATTAAATGAACAGCATTCACACTTTCACCGACTTCATAAATTTCAAGGATCTGAAATGGCTTTGTGCTTTACTAGCCCAGAAACAGCAGCAGCGGTCACAAATCACACGATTCAACAGGAATTCACCAACTGAATCTCACCGGCTCCACATCTTACAGGTTCAGTTGTGGCATCTCTAAGCTGTTACTTACCCATCACATGTGAGTTAAGGTACTCTGCATGTTGCTCCTCACACAAGATTTTAAAATATCTGAAGTTCCCCCTTGCAGTTTTAGTGGTAAATTAGAGGGAAAATGTCATTAATTCCAGCTCTGCAAGTCAGTTTATTTCCCTAAATCGCTATCTGCTTGTGCTCTTGTATTTGCCAATTCATCTTCCAGGTTATTTTTAAAGTTCAATGCTCATTAAAGTATTTCAGAAAAGTAGCTTCTGAACAGCTTTTAGTTAGATGAACTTTTGAGAAGCAGCTGCTCTATTGTTCCCCTTTCTCCTCACTGACAATCACCCACCCCATTCACTGGAGCCTGAATGTGGAAGTGGTTATTTCTTGTTTGACCACCTATAGCATTCAGAGGACAGAGTTTATTTGATGCTGTGGGGCTGAAAAGCCTCAAACAATGGTTATATCTTGGCTCTAGAAAAGAAAGATTCAGAAATTTTATATCAAATTGAGATGAATCAAGGGCAAGTTTCAGGCAGGAACTACACAATACATCACAGGGCGACAGGCTGCCGACCTCCTACAGCAGTATACGGACACCAACGACTCACTTGCTCACTTGTTATCTTGGTCCCTCCACATATCACCGGGCATCGTGCTGGATGTGCTCATGCTCAGCTCCTGGACTGGAAAAATGATATTTAGAAGTTATACTCGGTGATTTTGAAATCTTTTGTACAGATCCACATCTAGAAAGCTATTTTTAACCACTGCTGTCAAGATATCAAGCCCAGATGGAGTCTGGGTGCTTAACCCCACTGCTTGTCAGCCGTTACTACGTTTTACCCTATGCGCATTGCAGGAACACCGATTTCTCAATGCTCACCAAAGTCAAAGGTACTCAATGACTGAGCATCGAGTGTCCAGAAGCTTTTATTATTTCACCCATTCAGAACAAGAAGTTATGCTTACTTCCCATGGATGAGCACTCCGGCTTCACTCAGCTTTCATCTTCACCTAAAGGATAACAACTGAAGTTATTATAGTAACACACAGAAAATTCTGACCATTTCAAAACTAACTTAAAAATAAGGTTTTAAGATACATGGACTGATTAGTTATGAGGGGGAATTTCCAAATTATTCCAAAATATTATGTGGAAGAATAAGGGGCAGAAATAGGCTAGCCTAAACGCTTGTAAAGAGATGAAGGAATATGCAGGTAGTTGACTGAAGAACTGCACCTCGTCTGAGCACAAACCGTAAATCACCAGTCTGAGTACAATGAAGTTTGATTGCAGGCAGAGGTATACTATCCCTTATGTGAAGGCATTAACAATTTTGTCAAGCTACTTCAACTATTTTACCCTAGTCTGTCTCCTGTTATAATGCCCTCTTTCTTCCCCTTCATGAAGCAGTGCCGTGTCCCTGGACTCCTAGCAGCCCTCAGGTTCAATAGTCCTAGAAGTGCTTCAGAAGCCAAAGGAAGACACTAGAGGTTAGCATTGTCAGTCGACTGCTTTTACGCTCGGCAACAGATTCTCCCCTTCTGAAGACCCACCCTTTTACTATAGCTAAGTCGAGGGCAAACTGCGATGGTCAGCAGCTAGGGATGTACGAGGTTTCTGTGCACACCTCTAGTTGGGAGACAAATCACACCATGGTCACAATGTGATCCGACCAGGCAGGGCGAAGTTCAAGTTTAGTCTCAAACCCACCACCTGGGTTTTATCATGGCCCTCAGGAGCAAAGTATAGTATGCACGTTTTGTTTTCTATGTCATAGCAACAAACACCATGCATAAGGGATACTATATCTTTGTGCATCCATTTAGCAACTCCAGATTCACTTATAGCCACACTCCTCCCAACCCTCCCCAGTTAGGTCTTCAGTACTGGTGTTCAGAAGCAACATTTATAGAGATGGGGTATTCACAGACCACTGCGGGATTGCACAGCCAAGTCCTAACGTGTCAATCATTACCTAGCAGCAATGACAGAGGTGGGAGAAGGCCAATCCTCCCTTTTTTTCCTTTTCCAGTAAGCAGCTATTTAACAGCCCCACTAGCTGGTATGGAGAGAAAAAAAAATCTGAAGCTAATTAGCTGATTCCAAACTTACTAATAGTGGAAGAAGCCAAGTAATTACCCAGAACAGCATACTTTTTATGCACCCTTTCCAACATGCTTAGCCTCATTTAACATAATGGAACAGAACACTGGCCTTCCTGATCATGTCACTGCAGCTGGCAATGATTAACAGAGACATGCAACCCCATTACTGCTCGAGTCCTAATACTACTCACAGGCCTCAGTGTTTAGCTATGGGGAAAACTGCAAGCAAATCAACACTTTGTATGCTTAATGTTACAGTAAAGCCCCCATACACGCTATGCTGTGCTCTCTCCTGACAGCACCAGTACGTGGATCTGAGGGCCTAGCAGGTACGCATATGTATTCTGACACCACACTTCTGAGCTTCAGATAAGCTTTTGAGAAAAAGTGTATTTCACACACAGATAAAACCAAGATGAAACACAATGCAAGCACTTTAATGTCATTTCTTGTACCCACTCGTTACAGACTGACTTAGAGCAGACATGACTATTTGCTTTCAAGTTAGCTACCACACCAAGTTTCATTACTGCACAGTCAGAGCTGGTATGAGACCCATGGTTCAGTCACGAATTGCTTGCTCCAAGAGTGTCAAAAACCTGCTAGTTCAAGTACATAGAACG